AACTTTAAAGCTTATTTGGTTTCAGGAAAAAAAAAAAAAATCACTTTTGTTTAAGCACTTCATTTCCCCAAAAAAAAAAAACGAAAACAAAGAAGTGGAGATGGATGACTTATTGATGTCGATATCCTCTTTTGATCTCTTTCCTTTTCTCTCTCTCTTTTGTATATGTGAAGCATCTTTGATACTTTAATGACATAGATGTACTCTTAGTTAAAAAAAAAAAAAAAAAAGAAAAAAAAAAGAGGTTTTCCCATCATAAAATTAGGGCGAACTTGGAAAAAAAAATAAAAAACAAATATTTTATGTAAAAATAGATGACCAAAATGCCCCTATAACTTTTAGGGGTATTCTGGTAATTGTTCATCACTGGAAATATTTTTTTAATATTTTTATCATGTGCACCCTTGTTAGATCTATGGATGCCCCAAATTTTTGCCTCAAAATTATTTGTAAAATAAAAATAAAAGATAAAATACTATGAGTCGTCAGATCAAGATGTGATGGTTAACTGTTGCAAAGCATTGTTCATACTATTTGGAGCTGGCTTTCCATCACAAAGGAGGGTTTTGGTGTGGCTGAAACTGATATTGAAATGAACCTCTCCAATCTGTTACTCCATAAATTTGTTGAAAATCGATCAAGAAGTGTGTGGTGTCCACCTATATATGGTTTACTCAAGCCGAACTTTGATGAAAGCTCACATGGAAACCCTGGTGCAGCTGGGAATGGGTGTTTTATAAAAAATTCTTATAGGGATGTGGTTTTATGCTAAGGGGAATCTTGTAGGATTGCAACTGTAAATACTGTGGAGTTAGGGGCTGTTCTTCAAAGTATGTGTATATTGTTTCTCCGCTTTAATGAAATAGATGTACTCTTGTGAAAAAAAAACTCTTATGTATATGTGTAACATCTTTGATACTTTAATGAAACAGACACAATCTTAATAAAAAAAAAAAAAATTGGTCCTCCCATCAAAAAATTAGGGCGAAGTTGGAAAAAATAAAAAACAAATATTTTATGTAAAAATAGATGACCAAAATGCCCCTATAATTTTCAGGGGTATTCTGGTAGTTGTTCATCACTGGAAATATTTTTATCTTGTGCCCACTTGTTATATCTATGCATGTCCCAAAATTTTGCTTCAAAATTATTTGTAAAATAAAAATAAAAACTAAAATACTATGAGTCGTCTGATCAAGATGTAACGGTTAAGTGTTGACTTGTGACATTGTGACTCAAGCCATCTCCGCCATTTACTCCACATATACCATACATGTGGGTGAATCACCTAGAAGGCCCTCCGTTAGTTAAATGGGTGGGTATTATATGAGTCACCCACCTTAAACAACTGAAGTAAGATGCACCTTGCTGGTAGATGCAGTTCCGTTGCCGGAAACTCTTTTGATGGCCTGAAATTTGTTTCCATTTCTAATTATGAAATTTTAAGGTTTGAAAATATTTCAGGTTGAGCAATTCTATAAAAATTTAAAATCTTGAAAATGGGTAGTTCATATACTGGGTTATAAGATGCATTAATTTGAAGACTTGAAATTTTTTACTTTTTAATATGCAAATGTTGAGATGATCAATATGAGGGTTTTTTAGCATTGGAACAACCTTTTATAATGTATTTTTGAGGTGCTCCTCCCTTCTATGGTTAGGTTGACGCCTTACATAAGCTTTTTCCTAGTTAAATACCAAAATATTTAAATGCAAATATACATATCGCACCACTAGCAATGAAATATGCTTAGACCAAAAGAAGAAACCAGTTAGTGAGCTTCTTAAGCTTTTTGGGGTCCCAATTTCAAGGGCGCCACTTACAAACTGGGGTGTCTATTGTTAGATCAAATCATAAGGTATGCGATGGTAGTATGATATTAGTATTCATGTTACAATCTTGTATTATTGTGTAATACAAGAATACAATATTATTTCTATTAATATTATTTCAAATATTCATTACTGAAATAGTAATCAATTAATTTTTACTTAAGAATATATGAACAATAAACAATGATCTTAGGGTGGAATTGAAGAAGTATGTATTTCATAATAAATAGTCTATATACATTAATATATATTTATTTCACTTTTAGAAATATTTTATTTTCATTTTCATATTGTTTAGTAATATGCATTTAATACACTTATTTCCTAAATTTTTCAAAGTACACATGATATATACATTTTCCTAAAGCATGCGCCTCTTAAAAATCTAATTTTAAGATAGATTTTTTGCACTTAATTTTTGAGGACATGCAATCTCTAACATGGAGAAATTTTTTTTTTTTCTTGAAAATCAAATATTTGGTCTTTATCTAAATCTCTTTCTTGAAAATCAAATATTTCGTCCAACAGCCCAACGGTCTCTCCCGCTCTTTCTTGAAAATCAAATATTTGGTCTGAAAACCCAACGACCATTTCTTTCTCTCTGTGGAATCTCAGATAGCGAGAGGAGTCTTCGGTGGGTCCTTTCATCTGTTGCAAGTACAGGAGCATTCAACCTCTTCCGACCAGGTATTCTCTCTCTATCTCTGTGTATTTTCTCTCTCTAACATCTTTGATCTCTTTCTTTCATTTTCTCCCTCTTTCCACAAAATCTTGTTCAAGCAGTCTCGATCGACTGGACATACTGCGATATTCTCTTTCGCTCTCCTGATTCAAACATTGATTTACTACTGCTATGTCAACTGCGAAGAGTAAATAATGACGTTGCATGTGTGTGTTAATCCGTTGAGAATTAGAGGTTCTAGTGTTTTGCAGGAAACCCTAAACTTTGATATTCGTTCGGGGATGGGGATAGGGATGATATGATAAACTCCCTAAAATTTGTAGAATTTAGGCTTCTCTTTACTCAAAGATTTTAAATTTGATATTCGGGGATGGGGATGATTTGCTAGAATCCCTAAAATTTAATTTCTTTCTGATATTTGCAGGATTCAGGATTCTGTATAATGGCAGCAGATCAAAACCCAATGCCAGAAGATTTTGGTCGAAAGATTGCAGACTTGCAACCTTTACTGGTTTAGAACATCAGTGGTAGTCCTAGGATTGCTTTGTACCCAGAGAGAAAACAACGAGGGTTTGAAGGCCACCATCACATGACCTATATTGAGTCTAAGATGACACGGCCCGGTTTCTTCTTCAGCCATTGAGATGCCTGGCTGTGTTAACACTTTTTCAGGCATTGGTAATGAACCATTAACTGATAAGTGCCCTTATGATGTGGTGCAGAGTATGCCCTTTACACATAAGAGTAATAATTCTGATGGCCAATCTGATAATGTTTCTCACCCCCAGTTTGACTTTTATCAGCGCCAACAACAAACCTCAGAGCCCTCAACTTCCCAAAATTCTCATTGTCTTGAATCTACTGATGATTTTTCCACCAAAAAAAAGAAGTTCTAGTGTAGTTTTTGGGGCAAATTCGTTCCTAGGCCAAGTGATGGGGTGCCAAGATATGTAGGGGGTCATACACAGATCATCAATTTGTGGAGGGGTATTTGATTTCAAGAGCTTCAGAAGATGGTAGACGTGTATGGGCAACGTATGGTCAATACGTACAGCTCCCTAATGAGGATCTCGATACTTTGATTTCAGTTACGTGCAATGAAGATTTGGAAATTATGATTGAAGAGTATGACATGCTTTTGAAAACCTCACCAGTGCGATCGTGGAAGCTTCATGTCTTCTTGTTTTCAGCCTCAGAGCCTGACTCCTATGGTGTTGTTCAGTTTGCGAATCATCAGGATTCAGGGCAGCAATATGTTGAGGGGGTGAATGGGATCCCTTAGAGCACCAATCAGAGAAAGGAGAGAACATCAAGGGGTACTTCAACTCTAAATTCTGATTGTCAGTTTAATGGTGTTGCTTCTCATAAATTAGTTCCTAATCAAGGTGATGCGGGCAGCAATCTACTACCTAGCAAGATTCCAAGTAACGATGCTAGATTGGCTAATGATGCTCTGAGGTTGGCTAATGATGCTCCAAGTGTGGTTAATGATGCTCCAAGATCGGCTAATGATGCTCCAAGGTTTGCTAATGGTGATCCTAATGGTGATCCAAGGTTTGCTAATGATGCTCCAAGGTTTGCTAATGGTGATCCGAGGTTGGCCTATATGTTTCCTAATCAGTTGATTTTTGGGGAAGATGCTGCATCTTCAAGTGCCGCTTCTGTTAATACCAGTGGTCCTTCTGAACCTATACCCATGTGCACTATGCTTCGACCTGGGCAAACCCACTCTGTGGATCCAGCAGTTAGGACAGAAGAGTACCATTTACATGCTAAACTACACAATCTCTCTGTTATGCCAAACCTACCTGTTTATGGGTTGTTGAAAAGTCCTTCTGAGAGGCCCAATATTGCTTCAACCCTGGTCGATTGCAGGCCAGAAGGGCAGCAGATGCCACAAATCGAAGCACATGCTTCTTTAGTAGATGTTCGTCCACCTCTGACATATGTGCATAGTTATGTGGGTGCTCATCCAAGTGCCTATAACTTGAGCAGCTACAGTCCTTACAATAATTCAGACATAAGAATCTCTCCTGAATCAATCCATGCTTCTCAGAGTTCTTCTCTCAGTGCACAACAATCAATAGTGCATGTGGCTTCAGCAATTGGTGTTGGTGGTGTCTCCTATCCATTTGCACTGGCAGGTTCTTCAGGATATCCTATAGGTGTACCTCCTCCTTCACAGAATTTGTGTGCTGGTCCTTCTTCGCCAAGAGTTAATGGCATAATTGGAGGTCAACCGTTCATACCGACACCTCAAAGAGCCATTGAGCGTTACATGGAAGAGAGCAGTGCAGGAGCAAGGATTCAACTTCATGGTGACCAGAGTTATAAGGCATTCCAAGTTCCCCAAATTACCCTGCCTCCTCCTGTTCAGGTTAGTCAGCCCACCATGGAGAGGCTCACTAGCCAGCCATCAGCACCTGAATGTGTAGTTTTCTCTGAAGTATGGGTAGCTCAGCAAATGGGAAATTCGGGCGATAAGGTGTCTAAGCTTGAGGACTGTTGCATGTGCCAAAAGGCACTGTCTCATGCTCATTCTGATACATTGATTTAAGAGCATGTGAATTCTGTTCCAGAGACAAATTCCGCTCTTCAAAGTCATCATTCCGATGGAAGTATAAGATTCATGGCCTCACCGAAAGTTACTGGAGCATTGGGGGAGGCTTCTGTGTCTCCCCAAGATGAGCATTGGTTAGGTATGGAACGTGGGGCAGTGGCTAGGTTTCAGGGAAACAGAAGAAGTTATGCGAAACTGAATGGGCAGAATGGACATGAAACTGCTGCATCTTCACTGAGACCTCCATGAATTCCTCATGTTCCAGAGCAGCATCTTAATTGTGATCAAGTTCCTCAGCAGCAAACAGAAAAACCTGATCACACCAAGTTGTTGTTTACTCAGAACATGCCAGTTAAATCTACTGAGGAACTTCAAAAACCTAGACCTTTCGGCTTTACTTATGTTGACAAATCTACTGAGGAACTTCAAAAAACTGAACCTTTGGGCTTCACTCATGTTGACAATGCAGGGAACAAGTATGGAGCAGATGATGTGAAACCCCTGTATGATCCATTCTCAAGCAACCACTCATTCTTCCATCAAGAAAATGCATTTGTGATGCCCCATAGCCAGGTTAAGCAAGAGGTGGCAAGGGACAGGATGGTCGGTATTGACATCCCTCTAGATATTAGCTTGCCTTCCTCTAGTGCAGAGCCTTGCGATCTTTACTCTTCACATGATTTCGCAACAAAATATGTTTATCTGAATCCATTGTCATCTGACAATTATAGAACACTGGATGGGAGGTTGAGTGCTTTATCTATGAGTTCACCGGGGTTGTCTTCAGGGATTGATCAGAGCAAACTACCATTTTGGCTGAACTCGGATCATTGTGTGAGAGCAATCAGCTAAGTGACAGGATGCAAACAAGTGATACCTCGGTAGCGGCTAACGTGAATGCTGTCAAAGAAGAAAGGCTGAATGTGCAGCCACAGGTTACTTTGGATTCTATTCGAGTGGCTGATCCCTTTAGTGAGCCAGGGATTGTTACGAGTGCGGGTTATGTCAATCCAGTTCAACCATTGATACATAATGCTCAGCCTGCAGATCCTACTTCAAGATCGGTTAATGATGCTCCAAGATCGGCTAATGATGCTCCAAATTTCACTAATGGTGATCCTAAGTTGGCTAATGGCTTTTCGAGGTTGGCCTATATGTGTCCTAATCAGTTGATTTTTGGGGAAGATGTTGCATCTTTATGTGCTGCTACTGTCAACACCAGTGGTCCTTCTAAACCTATACCCATGTCTACTATGCTTCTGCCTGCGCAAACCCATTCTGTGAATCCATCAGTTAGGCCACAACGGGGCAATTTAGACGCTAAACTTAAGTCTCTCCGTTATACCAAATCTACCTGTTTATGGGTTGCCAAGAACTCCATCTGAGAGGCCCAATATTGCTTCAACCCTGGTCAATTGCAGGTCAGAAGGGCGGCAGATGCCACAAATCAAAGCACCTGCCCCTTTAGTAGATGTTCATCCACCTCCCACATGTGTGCGTAGTTATGTGGGTGCTCATCCAAATGCCTTTAACTTGAGCAGCAACAGTTGCTACACTAAGTCAGACAAAAGAACATCTCCTGAATCGATGCATGCTTCTTAGAGTTCTTGTCTCAGTGCACAACAGCCAGTGGTCACGCAGCTTCTTCAGGATATCCTATGGGTGTACCTCCTTCGCAGAATCTGCATGCTGGTCCTTCGCCAAGAGTTAATGGCAAAATTGGAGGTCAGCAGTTGACATCAACGCCCCAAGTACCCCCTGAGCGTTACGTGGACGAGAGTAATGCGGGAGCAAGAGTTGAATTTCATGGCGACCCGAGTTAGATGGCATTCCAAATTCCCCAAATTACGCAGCCTCCTCCAGTTCAGGTTGAAGGTCAGCCCACCATGGAGAGGCTCTCTTGCCCGCCATCGATACCTGAATCTGTAGTTTTCTCTAAAGGACGGGTAGCTCAGCAAATCGGGAATTCAGGGGATAAGGTGTCTAAGCTTGGAGACAAGCATGTTGCAAAAGGTGCTCACAGAATGTGACATGCCTTCTCTCTCATCATGGGCTGTTTACAAGCCTTCTACAAGATGTTAAGTGCTTAGACATGGGATAATTTATTTCAAAAGGGAAAGATGTTATAATTGATTGAATTCAATGAAAGTTTTTCTATTTTCATTTAATAAAATATTTAATAATAATAAAGTTATGGAAATTGAGAGATAAGTGATCTAGTTAATTTATTTTAGCTTCCAATATATTTTTTCTTATTTATTTTGAAGCGTTAGGTTCTTGCATGCTAATGACTGGTAAATGTATTGAAGAAATCGAAAATTTTGAACCAATGGATTTTTAATCATACGCATGCTGCAATTTTCAGGAATTCTTATCCTACTCGATATGCTTGGATGGTCCCTGATGTATGTTTTCATTGCAATGTATGTTCTTATCCTCAAAAGAGTAAATCAATCACCTTTTTACAAAGTGCAAAAACTTGCGTGGACTGGCACTCCTGCCGGAGTCAGGTTACTAGGGTGAGTCCATGCCCACTCGGACTCGGGTACTGGAGTCAAGTTACTAGGGCGAGTCCATGCCCACTCGGACTCGTGTGAGTCTTGTCTATTTACTATACAAGTGCATTTAGTCCAAGACATAGTTGAACTCACCTTGGTCAACATGTTGGGGCCAAGCCCGAATTGACCTGGTTGAGTTTTAGTTCGAGTTGCCAAGTCGTTATTTAGAATGCTGTTTTTTCTTTTTAGAGGATCAAAACATATACTTTTTTGTTCAATGGAAAGGGCATGACATGGTTGTTGGTGGTATAAGATTAATGGGCTAGAAATACAATCTTTTAAAAAATTTCCATTATATAAAAACTCAAAAGTTTAAATGCATGAATATCTCAATACAAAACCATAATACATATATTCCAGCCTACAAAATCCCTTACTTAAAAATTTAATTAAACTGAATACAATATTCAACTATTCACATTGTACATCTTTACAATATATTGCATGCTCATTATATCAAAATTGTATGATAATTTCATCTTCATTCTTCATCCTCATCATATATCATAATATCTCATACATATCATACACTTGATCATAATAATTCAATAAGATTTCAATTCGCATAAACAATAATGCATAGCATTGAAGCTCATACTGCAAGATTAAAAAACATTCTCACACAACATACTTAATTTAACCAATCATGAATCCATTTAATAACTGTAAATACATCAAATTAACATGCAAAACATACATAGGGAAACCATGGTTCGAATCCTTTGTGCCTGGGCCACGAAAGGGCCTTTTGAGGACTTAATTTTGTCCCATTGTCTAAGGCACGAATGATAATAGTAACTCAAGGAGATCATTCCAATGGGAAGCAAATGATCATATTTATTTCACTTAATGGGGATCAAATCATGATAGAGACATGTATCAAAAAAGCCCTTCAGAGTTTGAGAGAGATACCACACAAAATAAGGAAGTTAAGGTGAAACTACACCATGTGGTCTATAAGGGACCACACGAACTTTTCAACATTAAAAAGGGAACTCAATGGACTATTTCTTATGTCCAAATATGATGAAATAAACCTCTCATAAGTTGTATATTCTCAGTAAAAATTTCAGAAAAATAAGATCAAGAAATCAAGTTGAAACTACTCAAGATCATGGAGTAAGCAAGCTAGTCTACACATATTATGTATATGGACTACACTATTGCTTTGTAACTCCTCAAATATCAAGTTTTCATGGCCAATAATGAAGAAAGCTACTGTAAATTAAGAATTACAACAAGCTTTGATAATGGAAATGAGGTAGAAATTAAAAATATGAGAAGAAAAATCATTACTTTAATGGAGTGATAGTATGGGCTTGATCACATAAATGATGGACTACTCCATAGAAGAAGGGTTTCAAATGAAAACTCAAGAAAGAAAATAGTCTTATAGGTGACCATATTTTTGTCAAGGGTCCTCTCTCTCTTTGAAGTGAATACTTAAGTTGGGGTTATAATTGATTCCATAAGCTACTTTTATACTTAGATCATAAAGATGGATTTGATCTCGATCCTTAATGCCTTAGATCAATGGCACTTGAGAGGCTTTTATCCAAGCCACTCATCCGTATCTTATCATCGAGATCAATGGATGAGCTTTTGACACCTTTCACTCCTTAAAACCTAGGTTTATAGTTATTTTACCTTGAAGCCATTAGCTCCATGTTTTATTTTCCATTAAGTCCAAATTCATGTTTACACTTATGCCCATGGTTTTTAAATAATTTGTGAGAGTCAATAAAATACAAGGATATAGACATAAAGGTAATATGGGACACCTACACATGTGAATAAAATATTTTATGACACCACCAATAGTTTTTTAACAAATACTAAAGTTTCATATAGGTCAAGCCCATAAGGTGGTGCCACATAAGACATACTAACATACTACAAAATCATATGTGGACAATAATATGAATTAAATTAATTCTCAAAATTTCATGACTTCACACATGTCAAAAATGGCACATATGAGTAAAAAAAAAACATGTAACTTAAATCAAACTTAAGTCATAACAATATATAACACTTTAAATAACAAGATAACATGTAATAACATACTACCAACAAAAGAATTAATGACAAATAGGTCGCCACATAGATATGACATCAACATGATGTCATCTACAAGTGGGGAGGTGGGGGTGCCATGTGGCATCCTTATGGCCACTTGGGATCCATGTGGCATCCCCATAGAATGTCATTGTTTAGTATTTACGTTAAAAAAATTCGAAAATCATATTTTTTATTGTTTAAAAACTATGAAAAATTCTCCAAGAATCTCAAAAATTCTCTAAATGATTTCTCAGCATTATTACACAATTTTTCATCAATATAAACCTTTTCTTGTCAATTTTAGATTAATTTCGGCCAAAGGTAAATGAGATCTTTAGACTTATAACGCTAGTCGGCGTCTTCCATTGGGCTAACCTGAATGACGTTCCACTGGTGTCTCAAGTCGACACAATGGACCTATGCTCCATAGTCTATGGCATGGACACATATTTGGTCACATCAAAGTCGTTGAGCTAGAGCTTCCCGTCACCGGGGTACAATGGATTACTGGTGCATCCCTGTAGGATATGTTCCTACTCAAATACAGGGGTCATCTCAAAGCACATGTGCACTAGCTCTTCTAAGTCAAATAATACTATAGAAGAGTGGCTTCCCCATACGACTGTGGGTGCACTTACCATGAAACTGTCTCGTGTCAGGATACGGGCTCATGTCCCATGAGTGGACCATTCCATACAGGGCGAATACTTTTTTAAATACTCGGGTTCTATTATTCTCAATTGGATTCTCTAAACCCTGGATTATCACATCAACTATGAGGCATTCTAATCAATATAGTCATGACTGGGAGGTGACCCTCACACCTCCTTGAGAGTTCTCACTCTCAAAACGTATACTCTCAATGCCTCAAATATTCGAGGTATATGAATCTGGGCCCCAGTGTATCAAGCACCCAGATTCAGTCTCTCTCTAACTCCCACTGAGTGTAAGACTATTGGCTTTAAGGCCTTGAAAGGCCACATAGCCAACAATGGTGACCCATCTTTAGCTTTCATCCCTCATCGAAGTGTAATCAAAATGTTTGGTTATTTGATTCCTTTGCCGCTCCTTGATTTCATTGCTTTGACTGAGTAGATTGGCAATTTTCAGGCATCTCCAATCTTTGATTGGAATTGCAATTAGATTGGTGTTTGTAACTAGATGGAAGGTCTTGAAATGTGGGTTTTATTTGTAATATCTAGGGTAAGAGTGGTCACTTGGTATGACAGTAAAAAGCTCAGGTAGCCAGCGCAAGAGTGCGAGTTCGAGTCCTGAAAGTGGTCACTTTGTGCATAAGCCAAAGGTTAGGACTGTTTCCAGCCCACCCCTGTTGAGACCCTGCTTAGGCGGGACCAACACCAGGTTACGACCCTTTTATCTCTTCACCCTACATGTCTCCAATATCAACGATTTAAGATTAAGTCTTCATAATGATTGTAAAACTGAGATCGTAAAATTCTAGATCCCATAACCCTAGGTTTGCACTATAAATACTGAGGATGTATAACAACCAAATTACATAGACCTGCACTTAAACTATGTTACAAATACATGACAATACAACGCAAAACCATAGTTAGCAAGCCTCTATTTAGTACAATTTTTTTTTAAAAAGACCTTTCGTTTTTTTTTTTTTTTTTAAAATTCTATTAAGATCCTTGAGGTTTTCAAAAGATCTTCAAAAAATCAAAGTTTTTAATGGAACTAATATAAATCCGTACTTTATTTTTTTCAAGAAAACTTTATCCTTATAAATTGATTTCTTCATTAAATTAATATTATTAAATTTGATGTGTAATGATAAGCACACTAGAGTAAATTAAGAATCTTGATTTAATAAAAAATTCTATAAAAAATATCACCAATACGTTCCCTTAAAAAAAAAAAGTGCATGAAAAATACAAGCAATATATTCCTCGAAAACTAAGATAACAAAATGATGGTATGTCTCACAATAATAAGAAGAATTAGAAGAAGAGTAACTCAATGAAAAATTTTTTTTCCCTTAAAACCTGGAATATCCTTATAAAGAGCAAGAGAGATATTCAATGATACTGAAGGTTTAAGCAACTAAGAATTCAGTGTGAGATTTGAATTTGTTTAAATATTTTGTTGTTTTCTTTATGCATAGAGAAATTTGATTTTGATTAATTTCATGTTTTTATTTTTAATTTTTATTTCAATGGTGTATATAACATAGCATTTTGAATGGAGTAATATTTTACCTATTTGGATGTTTGTGTTTTATTTTACACAGCAAGCATTGCTATTGGATTTATTGAGAGTTTCGACAAAAAAATATCCAGCATTATTCTAATGACACTAGGAAAGGCCATAAAATTATAGTTCAATAGCTTTAACGTGTGTATACAATAATTGCAAACCATAATCCTATATTATGTCATTTTTACATATCCGACTTTTTCACTCTGGTTTTTTTGCCAAATTTGAAATATTCACCATTCTATGGCTTACCTTATTTGTGGGCGATT